TACACTGACCACATTCTGTTAAATATTACCTCTATTTTATAAATTATATATATTGATGCTAAAGGAAGAAATGTAAAAAGCCATCCAAAGAAAACTGTATGAGACAGCAAAAGTAGCCTATTTTCTTTCTTTTTTTATGGTTTAACATATTACATGTCTCCTTTTTTCCTGACTGCCCCCCCCCACTCCCACCCTGGTGGGCAAGCCCCCACTGCCCCAGTGTCTGTGTCTATTTGTTATGCTAATATGCATGCATACAGTCCTTTGGTTGATCTCCAACCACCCCCCCTCCCCTCCTCCCCTGCCTTTTCTCTGAGGTTGGATGGTCTGTTCAGTGCTACCTTGTCTCTGGATCTATTTTTGTTCATCAGTTTATGTTGATCATTATATCCCACATATGAGTGAGATCATGTGATATTTATCTTTCTCTGACTGGCTTATTTCGCTTAGCATAATGCTCTCCAGTTCCATCCAAAAAATAGCCTATTTTCTCTGTCACTTATAAGTGAATGCAGCCAAATGAAAGTTACATACCAGATTGTTTTCATCAGCTTTGAAAACCTTTGCCTGAAATCTAATGGAGGGAGATGTTGGTCTGCTCCCTCTGGTTCTACCCTTAAAGGTTCTATAGAGTTTTCCCTTTTTCAATCTCTTGTTTCAGATTTTCCCCAGTGTATGTCCTTGATCTCTATGATTTGACCAGGTACGCTTGGTTCCATTCTCTTGGTTTTTCACTCCTCTCCCATTGTAAGTACCTATTTCTATGCAGCTCCTAGGAAACAAGTAGGTTATACTTTTTTTTAATTCTCAAATATTTATCTCATCACACCCATCTTGTCCATGTTATTAAGAAGAAGCTGAAACCCAAAAATGTTAAATGACTTCAGCAGAAGCAGCAGGGGAAGCATGTATGTGTTTAAAACAAAGCTCAGGGCTCCTACATCCAGCACAGTGATTTTCAGCAGGTGTGCCACAAGAATGTTTAAAACATGCAGGGGCACTGACCTCTTTCCACTTAGACTGTCAAATAAAAAAATGACAACAGCCAACAGAACAATAGCCCTCTGATGTAAATTTCCTGTCTTGAACTATATATATTTGTCATATAATACACTTGCAATTTATTGGCTACACCACATAATAAGGTTACATCTGATTAATCCCTGGTAACAGAAATCCTTATATACATGTATAGGAACCTGATTTTTTAAAAAGTCACTTTAAAGCTAAAAGGGTATGGAATTATTATTATTTTTTTGTAAATCAATCAAAATTTTATCTATTTTTGTCAGATTAGCCAAAAATATATTTTTTGGTGCACCACAGAATTTTAGTAATTAGTTGATGTGTGCCATAAGATGAAAAAGGTCGAACATCTAGCATGTAAAGGGCATGTAGCCCTCTACAGTTCATAACAGTATTGTCACATGTAGAGTTGTTTCTAACTTTAGAGCAACCCATCAAGGAGGACTTATTTTCCTCCATTTTATATCCAAAACACTGGTTGGAGACTCTTGGCCAAGCTCACATTACAGTAGTTGGAGTGTCTGGATGTCAATCTAAAACTTCTGACTCCAAAAGCCAAAACCACCTGCTCTCTCCCTATGATAAGTCACATGACCAAGATTAACTCCTCCTTAATGTTCTTTCAGGGACTTTAGGAAAGATCCTGTCTCCCTACGTAAATCTTTATTGATACCTTGCCATGGAACCTAAATTCTCCAACCACATCACTAATTTTCTTGCACAAAAGCACAGAAGGGCTTGTGATGTAAAAGTGACAGCAAAAGTGGTAATAAATCAAGATAACTTCAGAACATATTCAATCATTATCAACCAAGTTTGACTGAATTCATTAAGATAAATCAGTGGGAATATAAGTTTTATAGATAATCAATATGAAAAAGAATGTTTGCAGGAAAGTAAGTTGCAAGTCAAGCATGCTAGGGTCTAGTTCCTTGAGGAAAGCAGCTGTAGAGTGGATAATTATCAAATCATTCATGATAAATGTTGGTGTCAAGTAGGAGGAATGGCGTTTCTATAAGATGACACTGAGGTTTGCTTGGGTGTCACTCCTGGTCCTATGGTTTTAGACTTCCCAGAGATACTAAAACACTTTTATAAATTCCCTTCCTACTTAAACCAATTTCAGCAGACACTGCTAGATGCCTACTGAACACTCAGTTCTTCTTTTTACTTATTAGGAAAATATTATAGGGTTCTTTGAGTGGCTATGTGTCAATTTAAAATCCTACATGTTCCATCCTTCTTACAGCCAGGGTTAAGATTCAAGTAGAAATCTCTTAGAGATTTCTGGGAATTATTTGTCTTCCAAATATAGGTAATGTCCTTCATTTGTACTCCTTTCTTCTTCCCGCCTGAAAATTAGATGGAAGTCTGTAAACTGGGTAGCTTTTGTGAGATAATGAGAAAACCAGGAGAATTAAACTATAAACGAGGGACAGTGGAGCAGAAAGACAGAAGGGGCCTAAAATGTTAATGTTTCAAGCTCCTGTATCATCACTATATCACTTATCTATGGGATTTTATTTATCTATGAAACATAAGCTTTTATTTGGTTAAACCACCAGAGTCAAACTTTTCATCATTAGAGGTGACACACTATCCAAAAAGATACTTCCTTTTCTCCAATTAGGGAATCTTTACATCCTACATATATAGGTTGAAAATATAAATGTATATGATTTATTAGCATTAGTCTTTGTTCCACCACTATCTGACCTAGGACAAGTGATTTTAATTTTCAGGATCTTAGCATCCAAAAAGGTGGTCTACTTAAGTGACATTTAACTAAATGTCTTCCTTTTAAAGTTCTAGAATTCCATGAAATGTCCAAATGTAATTGAAAAATAAACATTTTTTCACTTGTAACTGCTCTGTAAATGGAATCAGTTATAGCTGAGAGAAGAGACTAAAAATGGTTTAGAGAGATTACCAAGGATTGGATTTTGTGTAAACTGGGAGGATTTGAGGCAGAACCTCATACACTCAGCAGGAAGCCAAGTGGAACATGCATCTAATTACAGATAATATTATACAGAAATATTATTTTTAAACGAGCTAGAGAAAAAATTAGGACAGAATTCTGGAGGGTAATAAGATTTCTGAAGGAATAATTGTACAAAGGAAAGAGGCAGAATGTCAGAAACTGCTCTTTCACGTGAAACGGAAGTTGGCCAACTGCCATATTGTTTACATAGTGGTAGAGGATGCTGACACCTACTTCAGACATGCCTCATTTATTGGGAAAAGATTTATTGATGAAACACTACATGAAAATCATTGTGGTAAATACAATGAAATGTCAAGAGAAATAGCATCATGTTCAGGTTGCTTTCAATCCACCAAAAACAGTTTCATAAAACAACAACAAAAACCATCACCAAAAAAACAAACAAAAACACCATAAAATGGCATTTAATAGTATAAGGAGTATAAAAGCAGGGTAACCTACTAGTATATTTGGTTTGCCTAGGATAATCCTGAGATAATCCTCTTGTCCTGGTTTAATTACTGACATCGTTCCCTTCCATACTCAAAACTGCCCCACAATGGTTATATGGGCTTGAAATTGAAACTTTATTTCATATATTTATCAACTCAAAGTGTTGATTTTTATCCCCATTGCCTTTTACTATAATATAAGAAAAAACATTTAAGGCTCTAAATTTACCTTTATGCTCTTCAATTCTCCAACTTGCTTTTTTTTTTATTCTACCTAGTCATTAGCAACACAAAAAGAACATAAACATAATCTGAAGTAGTATTATCAAAAATAGTTATATAAATGCTTTGCTATAACACCTTTAGAAAAATATATTGAGTAAGACTAAGTAAACAAAAAATATAAAAGAGTAAATCCAAAGGACAAAATGAACCTGTAGGTCATACATGAGAATTATTAATAGATTGGAGATGTGGAGATTAAGAGCATCCTCTTTGCCTAAGGAAAGATGCTATCAATGTGCTCTCTGATTATAAAAGATAAAACTTTGCTCCCATTATAAATGCCATTTACTAAATGAATTTGTAATATTCCATATTAGATTATTAGTGATAACATTCTTTCTTCTGGCAGGAGCTAACATCCAACAGTCAATAAACAGGTGATGATGATTTACACACACACACACACACACACACACACACACACACACACACACCATGTTACAGTCATATGTGTGCTGATCCTGAAAGAGTAGCACAAACTGGGGGGTAACTGACTGATCTATGGTCACCTGGCTCATTCTTCTACACAGGGAACAATGTTTTGAGACACTCATGAACTTGTTGATTGGTTTTAGTGTTTTCCTTACTGATCCTGTTAAAGAAAGAATAAAAAGACTTTTCATATCCTTGGCACCTACTAGAGAAATCATCTTTTCTTATTAGAATGGGAAGTGCTGTAATTAAAAGCACAGAGGTTTTACTCCTTCCCAGTAATTTGACTTAGCATAAATCCCCTATAGTAAAACCATTTATCTATGGTTTGTTGAGACATAATTATAACAGACTTTAAAAAGCAGTTTTGGTTAATAAGCAGCACTATAAATTGAGCAGGATTAATCTGCCCCATTATTCTGTACTTCAAAAGAAATGGGAAGGAGCAGGGAGATTTTACAATTTTCCACTGAAATAAGCAATCCTGCTTTAAACATTATTACCCTAAGTGAACTAAAGAGATTTACAAATCACTTATTAATGCTGAAAAAATGTTTACAGGTTTAGACAAAACTTATTAAAAGATTACAAAAAAGTGTAATGTTGTAGATTTAATAAAAGATTAACTGGGAGTAGAACTTTGATTGAAAGTAAAGCCTGCTTAAAAACGAACCATAAAATAAAACCTTTTCCTCCATCTATTCTTGAGTCTGTTATCTCCCGGTACTTAGAAAGATTATTTCCAATGATATCATCTAAAAGTGCAAGAGTGAGAGTTTTTACCCTTATCTTTCTGATACCTCAATTATGAGGTTCAGATCCTTTTGTAGTTTATAAATGTGAATATTGGGTGTTCAAACTATTGTGTAAGATGTGCCTCCCTCAAATCTTGTTATGGCATCATTACCTATATGACATCAAAGAAAAAAAAAAGAGGTTCATCCTCTTATTTGCCAAACCAAGCCCTTCCTTCATTTAGGACCATTTCAGTTTTCACATGGTTAACAGGTTAACCATGTTAAGCAATGTCCCTATATCATATGTTCTTGGCATATGGAATCCAACATAACTCACCTTCACTTTAAGGAAGGACTCTTAAAACCTTACATGGATTCTCTATCACTGGGATGTTTTTCATCTTTCAAATCTCAACCTTCCAACTCCCACTTTCTGACTATAGCTTTCTCTTCTTTTACATCCTCAATGGCTATGCTCCAAATACAAGTGAGTCAACTATGTTTAACGACTCTTTTTCTTGACCCTTCTCTATTCTATTTCTTCAAAAGACTTTGTCTGTGTTTCATCTGCTTTCTTCAACTCCATCTAGACCAACTGGTTAATGATTTCAGATAATTCCTAATCCTTGCCTAGCACAATATGGTTGAAAGTGCATTGAATATAAAATATGACATACACAGATTAAATTCCTGTTTCACCCATTTATAACCCATGGCCTTCTCCAAGGCAGTATGATTTCTCAAGCTTAGATTCTTCTCCAGTAAAATGGAAATGATGTTTACCTCTGAACATTTTGTGATAATTATATGAGATAATGTGTGTAAGGTAGATCAATAGAGATAGGGGCTAAATAAAGGTTACTCTCCCCTTTATTTCTTCCTTTTCTTTGTCCTTCTGAAAAATTCATATTGCCAAGCCCCATCCTAAGACATAGCCAACTAATGGGTGAGCTTCTGCAACTGTGCTTTTCAGCGTCAACTAAACAATTTCAATAAAGCTTGAACTTCTTTTCACTGATCTCTAGGCTGCTCCTTTTAGCATCCCAGATTCTTTTAGTAACTATACTAGAGGCCCAGTGCACAAATCCATGCACCAGTGGGGTCCCTCGGCCTGGCCTGCAGGATCGGGCCAAAACTGGCTCTCCATCATCCCCCGAGGGGTCCCGGGTTGCAAGAGGGTGCAGGCCCATCCAAGGGACCCCACCAGTGCACGATGAGGGCCGGGGAGGGACGCAAGAGGTTGGCCAGCCGGGGAGGGACCACAGGAGGGCTCCAGGGCATGTCCCGCCCAACCGTCTTGAACTAACCTGCCAGACGGAATATCTGCCCTCTGGTGGTCAGTGCACATCATAGCGACTGGACGACCGGTTGACTGTCTGCCCCCTGGTGGTCAGTACACGTCATAGCGAGTGGTTGAGTGGTCTTAGCATATCATTAGCATATTACACTTTGATTGGTTGACCGGATGACCGGACACTTAGCATATTAGGCTTCTATTATATAGGATGCCCTTATTATATTTTTACAACCCTGCCTCTCCCTGCTTCTCTCAATCCTATTTTGCTTCATCCTCTTCTCAAAATATAAAAGGCCAGGAGACACGAACTCTACCAACTTCCCTCCTCCCATATCCAATCTTGTCTCTCTTTCTATCTACCAACCTACTATTTTTCTTCACAACTAATTTGTTCTTCTTTCTTTTATGTCTCGAAAGAAGATGCCTCACTTCACCTCCAAGACAAACAGCTCTATCTATGTTATTGAATTAATTACCCTCCTGCTCCATTTGGGACTTTGCTTGATTAATGACCCCTTTTTCTTGGACTTTGCACTTTTTTTCTCAGGATACTAAAAATATTTCTCTTTCCTATATAAAGATATTTTCTTGCTAATGTATTCCTCCCACAGCATAATCCTTGCTCTGCAATTCAGTTTACTGACCAAGTCTTTGAAAGAACAGACCATATTTTCTTCATTTTATCACTTTTACTCCACAGAGATGACTTCTGCCTTAATTACTTAATATAATGTTTTTAGAGATTTTAGCTAAGCACTTAACTTCAGAATCTGCTATTTTTAATTTATTATTTTGATTAATCTCTCAGAGGTATTTGCCACTCTTATCTTCTTAAGAATATTTCCCCTCTTGACCTCAAGATAAGTTCTCTTCCTAACTCTACTATTCTCTCTTCTTCCTTTATTATACCATACCTCTTTACTCAGCCTGAAAAAATATATATAATTTTTTAATTCTCACCTAAGGATATGTTTATCTTCATTTTAGAGAGAGAGGAAGGGACACACACACACACACACACACACGCACGCACATACGCACACACACACAAACACTGATGTGAGAGAGAAACAGCAATAGGTTACCTCCTATACATTCTCTGACCAGAAATCAAATATTTGATTTGAAAGCCACCTGACCAGGGTCAGCCCAAAAATATTTTGTTTCTTAATTCTATCTTTGATCTTCTCATATTCTACACATTTCTTTCTTAATATTTTATTCATGCTCATGACTTCAATGACCAAATATAAAAGTTGTATACTCATATTTGTATTTTGTCCTTTACTGATTCTTCAGGTACCAGGTAAATTTGTAACTGGTACTAGATATCTGCAACGGGATTTTCCCTCATCAATGAAAAGGTCTCCATTAATCAAGTCAGTCCAATATAAAAACTTGCCATAACACTCTTTGAGTAAATAAGGAATATACATGTTAGAGGTTGAATCCATTAAGCTAGGGAGAGATCAGTGGTCCTGTCTCCAAATAGTCAAGAGGAAAAAAGTGGTGAGACTGGGGCAAAATAAAAAGGCATACCTTAAATCAAAGCTAAGAAAAAAAACTTTTAGATGCATGTGGCAAAACTACCCAGAAAATTCCTGGGTGATTTTTTAGAATGGTACAGGAATGTGTGTGGTTTGTGGTTGACATCTTTTTTTTAAATATATTTTTATTGAGTTCAGAGAGGAAGGGAGAGGAAGAGAGAGATAGAAACATCAATGATGAGAGGGAATCATTGATTGACTGCCTCCTGCATACCCCCTACTGGACACCAAGTCTGCAACCTGGGAATGTGCCCTTGACCGGAATTGAACCTGGGACCCTTCAGTCCACAGGCTGACGCTCTATCCACTGAGCCAAACCGGGTAGGGCTGTGGCTGACATCTTTATATAAAATCTACCAAGTTAACAAATACACTTATTCCTACCACCTAAATATATCTCATACCAATTTTCTCCTTTTCATTCCATTTCACTGCTTCAATTCAGATCATCATTATTTATCACATCCACTATTGCAGGAGTCAGATAATCCATCTCTCTTAGTTTTTCTGCTCTAATCTGTCTCAAACCTAACACATTTTCCACACTACACTCAGAGTAATCTTTCTATAAAACAAACCTGGTCAAATTACTCCACTGCTATAAAAGTCTTCTGATGAAACATCAAAGCCTATATTCCTTGCACGCCAAATAAGAATATTAGCAAATTTGTGCCTGACCAAATTTCTAGGCTTAGTTCCAACTGCTCATGCAAACCATGCTCATGTTCTCTGGTCATGACATTCTTTCACACTTCTATAATCCCTATGGTTCTGAAAATCCATGTTTTTATCCAGTGAAACAGCTTTTTTTAGGTTTTTAATTGAAATATTATGTCTTTGATATGGCTACTTGTACTGTGTTGCAAGAACCACACATTATATTTTCATAACTGTCATATCCCTAAAATTCTGGGATCTACTTGAGGTTAGGAACATTTATTTACATTTTCTGTCCCATATTTAGATGTGTGCATAACACCAATAAATGCTCAAAAATGTTTGCAGTTTGGATGACTAGAGGGCTGGATACTGGATGAATTAATAACAAGTTATTATAAAAATTACCATGCCACATATAAATTCTAAGCTTGTTTGAATATATTTTACTATGAATAAAAATACTCAATACTTTCAAAAGAAGTCTCAACATCAACACTTTCACAAGATGCTCAATGTCACTAATCATCAGAAAAATGGAAATTAAAACCACAATATCACCTCACACCTGTCAAAATGGCTCTCATTAATAAATCAACAAATAACAAGTATTGGCGAGGATATGGAGAAAAAGAAACCTTCTTGCACTGTTGGTGGGAATTAGATTGATGCAGCTACTGTGGAAAGCAGTATGAAGTCACTTGAAAAAATTCAAAATGGAACTGCCCTATGACCCAGCAATTTCACTTCTGGAAATTTATCCAAAGAAACCTGAAACATTAGTTCGAAAGAAGGTACGCATCCCTATGTTCATTGCAACATTATTTACAATAGCCAAGATTTGGAAGCAGCCCAAATGCCCATTCGTAGAAGACTGGATAAAAAAGCTGTGGTCCATTTACACAATGGAATACTACCAGGCCACAAAAAAGAAGGACATCTTACACTTTGTGACAGCATGGATGGACCTGCAAAGCATTATGCTAAGTGAAATAAGCCTGTCAGAGAAAGACACGCACCATGATTTCACTTTTATGTGGAATCTAATGAACAAAATGAACAAGCAAAAAAGAGACAGACTCATAGAGAGCAAGCTGACAGCTGTGAGAGGATTGAGCAAACAAGAAAAAGAAAAGGTTCACAATGAATCACAGAGAGTGAAAAGGATTTCCAGCCTGGAAGAAGGGGCTTTACTTTCAGACACCACATGACAAGATCAATCATAGTAATGCTTCTTCCAGTTGCTGTTAAAAAAATAAATACTATTTAAATATATAAAAATTACTACTTTTCCAAGTAATAATAGCTTAACAATTGCATTAATGCAGACTCAAGAATAAATTAATATTGGGCAACTAATAAGTAACTATTAAAAGACTGAAACTCATCAATAATGACCCTGCTCTCCCATGCCTCTCTCAATAATTATTGGTGCCTTTCCCTGGCAGTTTTAGAAACACCCTCTTCCCAAGGCAGTTTATATGTGTGTGTTTACTTCAGAAGTTATCATCTGGTACAATCTAGAAGTGACAGGGAAAACTCTTGTTATACTCTATTTGTTCATTCTATGCTGCTAGGCAGGTCTTAGTTTCTCCTTGCCTGATACTCATCCATCCTTGTATCCAGTCTGATTGGTGAGACCCTGAGACCTCACCAATCTTTTACCAGCTTTCTTTGAC